GGCATGCACCACCATGCCCGGCTAATTTTTTCTATATGTTTTTAGCTGTCCAATTAATTTCTTTCTATTTTTGGTAGAGACAGGGTCTCACTCTTGCTCAGGCTGGTCTCGAACTCCTGAGCTCAGAACGATCCGCCCGCCTCGGCCTCCCAGAGTGCTAGGGTTACAGGCGTGAGCCATCGCGCCTGGCCTGGATGAATTCTTTAAACCACTGTAGCAAGAGGGCGAGTAGGGGAGAGGATGAATCTAATGGCAGTGTTGTTTACCGAGCACCTTATTATTGGACCTGTGCTAAGAACTTCACAAGCAGTTTTTCCATTTAATCTTCACAGTAACCTGTCCAGTGTTATTACTATCATTTTCTAAGTGACGAATTAGGTCTGGGGAGGTTAGGAAACTTGTTCAGTGTCCCACAGGGCAGAGCTGGAATCTAACCCCTCAAAGCCTGGACTCTTCATCAGTCAATGCCCAATAAATGCTTCACTGATGCCGAACTTGCTTTTGGAAGCTGATGCCAGTACAGATGAACCTCCATTTATACAGCCACTGGAAAGCTGTAAACTTAAACATAGTTAATTACTTTGCTCATTATTTGAAGGAAGCTTTTCTATTGTTTATCTCTTTATAAGTAAAGGATTACCCTTGACTCATTTGTTTCCTAAATCTGAATTTTGTTCAAAGCAAGGTACATATTAACTAAAGATGTCTACTTGTAGATGTTGGTTTAATTATTGCTGGGCACCTGGGATTTTGATGTTTGAATACTTTGTGGCCAGTACCTTAATTTTGTGACACCTCATCTTGACAGTTTATTTATTTATTTATTTTTTGGAGACAAAGTCTTGCTCTGTTACCTGGGCTAGAATGCCGTGGCGTCGGCCTAGCTCACAGCAACCTCAAACTCCTGGGCTCAAGCGATGCTCTTGCCTCAGCCTCCTGAGTAGCTGGGACTACAGGCTTGCGCCACCATGCCCGGCTAATTTTTTCTACATATTTTTAGTTGTCTGGCTAATTTCTTTCTATTTTCAGTAGAGATGGGGTCTCACTATTGCTCAGGCTGGTCTCAAACTCCTGACTTCAAGTGATCCTCCCGCCTCGGCCTCCCAGAGTGCTAGGTTTACAGGCGTGAGCCACCGTGTCTGGCCATCTTGACAGTTTAAATAAAAGTAAATTAAAATTTACCAAATCCAGAATCTATTAAAGAAAAGATAGATATGTACCATGAAGGTAAACATAGAGTTTCCACAGAATAAAAACCACCATAAGCAAACTCCAATTATGAACTACAAATTTGGAAAAAATATTTCTAATTTCTGTTGTAGACCAAGGACTGTTGTAATACACATTGTACATTTATTTATGGGGGCCTATGCAAAAAACCCCACAAATACACACACACACACTATACACTATACAAAGCTCTCATAAATCAATAAGAAAAAGGCCTATAATCCAATAGCAAATGCAAAGAATATTCATAAGAAAACATGAATGGTTCTTATATATATGAAAAATGCTCTCCTTTTACTTGTAATGAAAAAATGTAAATTAAAACTATACTGAGGTACTAATATTTCATCTATTAGAGCAGCAGAGATTACAAAAAAATTTTTTATAACACATTGTACTGACCAGGTGTAGGGAAACTGCACTCTCATACTCCGCTTGGGGGAAGATAAACTGGTATAACTTCTAAGGAGGGAAATTTGCAAAATCTATACAAACTCCTGTCACACATACAATTTGAAGGTATAGCTATACCTATACACGTGTAAAATTATTTAAGTACAAGGTTACCCTCTGTAGCATGGTTTAATTAGCAAAAGATGGAGATGACCTCAATGTTCATCAATATAGGACTGGATCGATAAATTACACCCACGCATAAAACAGAGTTCATGCTATGCCTAGCTCTCTGCTAACGTAGAAGCCACCACAGACGATTGTCGGACATTTGAAATGTGGCTAATCCTAATCGAGACGTGCCTTAAGTGTAAAGTACACACACCAGATTTTGAAGACTTGGTACAAAAAGGGAATGTAAAATATCTCAATAGTATTTTTAATATGGGGAGAGGAGGGGGGTTCAGTTCCTCTTGTTTTTTTTTTCTTTTCGAGACAGAGTCTCACTTTGTCGCCCTGGGTAGACTGCAGTGGTGTCATCATAGCTCACTGCAACCTCAAACTTCTGGGCTCAAGCGATCCTCCCACCCCAGCCTCTCCAGTAGCTGTGTGAGTCACCATGCCTGGCCTCATTAACAATTTTTATGTTGATTTCCTATCAAAATAATATTTCAGATACATCATTTTAAATATATTGTTAAATTAATTTCACCTGTTCCTTTTAAGTTTGTAAAATGTGTTCACTAGAAAACGTATAAGTACGGGCCGGGCGCAGTGGCTCACGCCTGTAATCCTAGCTCTCTGGGAGGCCGAGGCGGGCGGATTGTTTGAGCTCAGGAGTTCGAAACCAGCCTGAGCAAGAGCGAGACCCTGTCTCTACTAAAAATAGAAAGAATTAATTGGAAAAACTAAAAAAAAATATATAGAAAAAATTAGCTGAGCATGGTGGCGCATGCCTGTAGTCCCAGCTACTTGGGAGGCTGAGGCAGGAAAATCACTTGAGCCCAGGAATTCAAGTTTGCCACAAGCTATGATAGATCACACCACTACACTCCAGCCTGGGTGACAGAGCCAGACCCTGGCTCTTTAAAGAAAAAAAAGAAAGTGAAATAAGTAAGATGCCTAAGAATGTTTAGTATGCTATCTATTGTGTTTTAAAGAAAGGAAATAAGTTCTCTCGATCTCTCTGAGACTTTGCTTGTTTATATATAAACTGTTTCTGGAATGGTGCACTAGAAACAATGTTGGCTGCTTCTGGAAGGAGAAACTATAGCGAGGAACGGGGTTGAAATTCGAACCCTGAATCCTGATGTAAATTTTTGAGTCAAACTTTACAAGCATTTTGACTATTGTAATTTCTATTTTATTCACATATTATTTATACATTACAGTTATTATTGGTCAAAAATGTTTTCAAAAATGTTTAACATAGAATGAAAATATCCATGGAGACTAGAAAAATATATGAATACATCAGTACGTGTATGTAAAAAGGTGAAAATGCACAGAGAGAAAAAGGACGGACAGATTGGGATAGGGAGGGGACCTCGCTAGGGATAGGAAAGGGGACTTGCTCAACTTTCTGTCTTTTTTACTTTGTATCATCTGAATCTCTCCTAAAGAGAATGTTTAACTTGTGTAATTCTAAGGAAAAAAACTAGATTAGGACCAAATATTAATGTGATGTTCACAATAGCTGTCTTTAGATAATGAGATTATAGGTAATTTTTCTTCTACTTTACTTTCAAAATTTTCCCAATTAGTCTATAAATAACGCTCTTACTTTTGTAATGGAAAAGCCAACGAACTTTTTTCCCCACTATAGTTTCTTTTTAAAAAACATTTTTTAAGATTCCATTAGCCTTTTAAAGAATTTTAAATTATCTTCATTGCTTTTTAAAATGATAGCGAGTAATGCGGGTTCCTTATGTCAAACACAGAAAGATACAGTGTGGGAAGAAAAAGTATTTCGTAACTCTGTCACCTCTGAGATCACCACTATTCTCCAAAACTTTTAAAATATTGCATATTTATATTAAGAACTTATACGTAATTTCAAATTAATTGGACAGGCTGAGAACCTAAATATACTTCCTTTGTGCCAAGCAGAGACTTAAATACTTTAAATTTGTCATCTCATTGAATCTACCCAGTAACTCTCTGGGGTAGATATTATACCCGGGTAATCACAAAGTCAGGGCTCCAAGTGTTTAAACGATTTGCCTAAGGCCACATTCTAGTCAGAGGCAGGGTTGGCATTCAAATCCAAGTCCAAGAGACCCGCTAAGCCACAGCCTCAGGCCACTGCCAGTGCGGTGGGTGGGGCTGGTGTGATTTTGTTGCAGCGACTGGACAAGCAGAGCTTACATCTGGCAGCCCCTCATCCAGTGCCCCTGGGAACGGGTGTTTGATAAAGGATTTTTGACTTTGGTGATAAGTGTAGAGCTCCTGATTGGGAGAGGAGAGAATGATAATAGTAGAGTTGGGTCATAATGGATACTGAGGGGCATTTTACGGCGGAGTGGTGGGGAAACAGGAGAAGCTGCTAGCCACAGCACTCCAAAGGGTTAAAGCCAGGCTGCAAAGCCCCTGGGGGGAAGCTACCACCAAAAGCTGCAATCCTGAGGCCTTCACCTCCCCCATCAGCTGGGACTGGACTGGTTCCTCCTGGGACTGTTGGAGGCCCCTGGGCCCCAGGTGAGCTTTGGGGAGGGACTGAAGCCCCAGATGCTGCTCGCCCCTGGCCTTCCTGTGGGGCTCAGAAAGTTAGGTGCCCTGGGATAGGCCTCCTGGCCCCTGACAGATGTAGCTCTGGCCCTGGCATGCTTTGGGAGTGAGAGGTGTTGAGCCCTGAGCCTGGGGGATGCTCGGAGAATGGTGGGGATATAGCCTTCGGAGAAAGTGGGGCATTTTGGAAGGGAAGGGAGCCTGCACCAAGGTGGGGGGCAGTGAGCAGTTCTCCATCCTGCCTGGTTCTCCCTGATTTGCAGGGCCACGGTTGGGGAGCTGCCTCAGGAAGAGATGTATTTTGGGGGTTCAGAGAGCCTCAAAGTATTTCTTTAACCAATCGTCCATGGCAGTTTCCGGGCTCCAACTTTGCTCTCACCCCCTCCCTCCCAAGCCTGACCACAGACTTTCTTCCCTTAGGTCTTTCTATCTAAACCTTCTCTTCTCCTCCCCTCCCCTCCCCCCAAACTGTTTGGAAATCTTTCAACTTTCTTTCAAGTTTTCCCTGGGCAGTTTGGGGTATGTTTCAGAGCTGGGTCTGGGCGCTTTAACACCCCCAGCTGGGTGGGGAGAGTGGATGACAATAGCTGCTATCACTTTACCATTGGAAGTGACCCCCGAATTTGCACTTCTTTCATCTTGGGACCAGAGCACTTGAGGGTGGGCGATTTCCTGGGGGGAGTGGCTTAAGCTGCTTCCCCACCGGCCAGTTGGCTGTAGACGGTCCATGCTCAATGGTCCTCTACAGATATGAAACTGGTTCTGGAGTGAGAGTGGAACTCAGCTGCGGACGCTGCCTGGGAAGGCCTTTCCCTACAGGCTGACTTAGATGTCCCAGGCTGGAAGGTGGAGCAAGAAGTGGACGCCCCCAGGGGTCTGGGTCACGCTTGAGGTCAGTAAACTAAGAAGTTTTTTCAGAACTAGAAGGGTGGATGCCTCCTACAGCTTGGAGGCTCTAGGGGGGAAAGCGGTGACCTCGGGACACTACTGGGCCCAGGTCAGCGTGGCCCCGTGAAGATGCTCTGTGTGTGCGCGCGTGTGTGTCTATGTGTGTGTGTAGAGGTAGGGGAGGCATTGTTTCAAGTTCTCTTTCTCCCCACCCCCACCTCCAGTCCCATCCCCACCCCCACCGGTCTGCCTATCTCCCCTCCTCACCCTACACAATGGTCTGGCCTCAGCCCCTCTCGGAGCTTCCCAGGTTGTGTCCCTTGTCTCCGTAGTAGCTCTGCTCCAGCCAGCTCTCTCCCTGGCCACCCACTGCCTCCTGGCACTCCCAAAGGGTGACTGGTGACCTTGTAGCCTGCACTCTCCCTTCTCTCTCCCTTCCAGACACGTGGTCCAGTAGAGCAACTGAATGGGGCTTGGTTGACTTGGCCTCGGGCCTGCCCTGGTGACCTCGGGCCTGCCCTGGTGACCTCAGGTGCACCCACTACCCCTGGTGGTGAGAATTTCCTCGGGAAGTCGCAGCCACCAGCCAGCCCTCACGGCCACCCTTGCCCACCTGGGCCTCCAGGCCCCTGGGGAGGGAGCCAAGATGGCTGGCACTCCCTCGGGCCCTGGCAGGGTGCAGCCTGGGTGGCCAGGCCAGTGTGAGCGGGTGCGGAGCGAGGCTGGGTGAGAAGCCAGCCTGGGGAGAATTAAACCCCACGGCTTAATTACTGAGGGCTGAGACCTGTGTGGCCCACAGGCTTGTTGGGCATGGTTGACTGCGGCGACTGCAGCGCTGTTGGGAGGGACAGGAAGAAAAGGGAGACAGAAAGCACGGGATCCTTGGTGAGCTCGGGATCCTTGGTGAGCTCGTGGAGCACAGGGTGAGGCTGGTCCCATCAGCAGATCTCTTGCCCCTCCTTCCCTTGCCTGCCCTGAGCCCTGGCTCACTCCCAAAACTCAGGGGACAAGAGGACAGGCCTGGGCTCCAAGAGTCATGGGCTTAAAAATAAGGGGACAAAGGGGGAGCAGAAAAGCTGACCTTGGCGACAGTGAGGCTGTGAGTGTCCTACAGAGTGGCCTATGGCCATTCATCCATTCCTTGGCCCCGGAGCCCTTCCTAGGTGCTAAGGTGCTTTCTGGGGCACCCGTCTTTTCCCCGCTCCCTTCCAACTTCAAGCAAGGGGAGTGGGGGAGCTTGTGTAATCCAAGGGGGCCTTGCCTGCTTGGTTTCACACCTTTTCAGATCTCTTCCAAGAGTTGTGGGGGCCCGGAGAGGCCAGCTGGGCAAAGTCCACAGATTAGCTATCACTTTCTGTACCTCGTTCACTGAATGCACCTGGCACCCGGCATGTCTGCTTTGCATTGCACTTCCAGGAGGAGAGCCATTGCCAAAAAGACTGTTGCACCTGAACCCCATCACCAATTGTCTATTTAAAGGATTATAGGCTTCCCCGTGTGGCCCCTTCCCTCTCCTGTTCTCCGGTGGTCCAGCCCCATTTTGCATACCTGAGGGTGGGTGTAGCTGTAGACCCTCTCCGTGGAGCTGCTTTTCTTAAGTAAGCTTTTGAGGAAGCTAGAAGTGCGGTTATTACCTCCTTGTAGGTCCTTTTACCTTTTGGAGAACAGGAAGGAACGAGATTGGGTGGAGCCAGCGGGTGGGATTGGGACAGGGAAGAGTAGGTAGGGTGGGACAAGGTTGGGTGGGGAGGGGTGGGGTTTGTGCAAAGAGGAAGTGCGGCATGTCTGGACGTTGTGTTGGAAGGTACCTGGACACTGCCGCATGAATTCAGGCAAGTCAACTTTACCTTTCTGGACCTCAACTTCCTTATCTGTAAAATGGCTAGGTTTATTTCAAAGCTCCAAGAATCCATGTTTCTGGATTCACTGGATGATGAAAATTTTGGGTGATGGAATAATAGTGGAGAGGAGCTCTGAAGTTGGACTGCTCAGGTTTTGCAGCTTTTAATAGCTGTGTGGTCTTGGGAAAGCTAACTTAACCCCCTGAGCCTGCTTTTGGCCAGGTGTGAACTAGAAATAGTGATCCTTGTGATGATGCAGGTGTGACGGAGTTGTAGTTTACATGGAGGCAAGGTAAGAACCACATATAAACGAAATTACTTCTGAAAAGCCCGAAATCCAAATGCTCACCCTGTGGAAAGCCAACAGAAACTTATTTATTTATTTGTTTTTGAGACAGTCTCTTGCTCTGTCTCTTGGGCTAGAGTGCAGTAGTGCACTGCAACCTCAAACTCCTGGGCTCGAGTCATCCTCCTGCATCAGCCTCCCAAGTAGCTGGGACTACAGATATGTGCCACCACACCCAGCTAAGTTTTCTATTTTCTTTTTATAGAGACAGGGTTGGGGTCTTGCTCTTGCTCAGGATGGTCTCAAACTCCTGGCCTCAAGCAATCCTCCCACCTTGGCCTCCCACAGTGCTAGAATTAGAGGGTGAGTGGGGGGAGCGTGGTGGCCCACAGAAACTTGTAATCACTGCAGAGGGAACATTATATTATGCTCTGCTCAGGAAATAGGCTCACTGAGTATAAAGGCATGGAGAATCATCCATACAATTTAAATTAATTTTTTCCTCTTATATTTTCTAAGATTTCCTGAGTTAAGTGAACATATTAAGCAGTCAGTAAGTAGCAGTCAGTGGCTATTTTCCTAATTTTGTTTGCAAAGTGTCTAGCAGAACAACAACAAAAAAACCCAGCATGTTGTTTGTTGGGATGATTGTGAGAATGAAAAAGCTCTCCTTTGTGTACAGTTTGTTCTTCAGGGTTCAATTTTTTTTTTTTTTTTTTTTGAGACAGAGTCTCACTGTGTTGCCTGGGCTAGAGTGCCGTGGCGTCAGCCTAGCTCACAGCAAGCTCAAACTCCTGGGCTCAAGCGATCCTACTGCCTCAGCCTCCCGAGTAGCTGGGAATACAGGCATGCACCACCATATCCGGCTAATTTTTCTATTTTTAGTAGAGATGGGGTCTCGCTCTTCTTGCTCAGGCTGGTCTCGAACTCCTGAGCTCAAACAATCCGCCCGCCTCGGCCTCCCAAAATGCTAGGATTACAGGCGTGAGCCACTGCGCCCGGCCCAGGGTTCAATTTTTTATTGTGTATGCAAGTACTCTCTTGACTGATACGAGGTTTATCTCCTGAGTCCAAAGGAAAGTAGTAGCTTTTGTAAAAAAGTAAAGTTCATAAAAGATTAACAGATTAAAAGCCCAATTTCAGGGTTAAATAATATGATGCAAGTAAAATTGGGTGAGTGGTTATACCAGATTTGTCGTAATATACACATTTTAAAGAAATCTACAGCCTAGAAATTTTAGTCAAAGGTGATTCTGATCACCAATTTTTAAAAAGCTTTCCTTCTGTATCAAGTGAAATTCTGGTAGGTATTCTTTCAGTGCTTTTAAATTTTTTTTCAATTTTACTGAATCACAATTTATACTCAAACACATCCCTTTTAAGTGTACAGTTCAATAAGCCGAAAAATGTATGCGCCCAAACACAATTTTTAAATCTAAGGCTCATCTAAAGCAATTTGTTGAACTCTCGAGAACAAACATCTGAGAAACCAGAAAAGATAATGCTCTCCTTTCTAATTTAAAAACGGTGTCCATAACGGAATACCACTCTGCTTTGCAAATAAATACTGAAACTCGACCAGTAATTAGGATGATTAGTTTATGCTGGAAAGGTGGCTGATGGTTTAAACAGGAGATGAATTACAGGCCCTAAGAAGCATCTGGTTTCAACAACTGGTGGATATATCACTAACTTGTGCTGTGACCTTGTGCAAATTAGGCTAATTTCAATTGCCTCAGTTTTCTCACCTGCAAATTGGAGATAATGGTGGTACCTACCTTAAAATATTGCTTTCAGGATTAGGGCAGTGCATGGCAAACAGTAAAGGTTCAGTAAATCCTAATTATTAGATTTTTGTCCATACAGTGGGTAGACTGTTGGTGCCCGTTTGAAAAGACCTTTTTTTCCAGGGCAGCAATTCTCAAACTTTTTGGTTTCAGGACCATTGTGTGATCCAGGGACCTGAAGAGCTTTTGTTTATATATATAGGTGATATCCAGCAGTGTATACTGTATTGAAAATTAAAACTGATAATTAAAAAAAATAAAACCTGTTACACAGTAACAAATAATCATTTTTATGAAAAACTATTTCAGAACAAAAATTAGTAGTGAGAAGAGTGCATTATTTTACATTTTTTCAAATCTCTGTAGTATCTGGTTTAATAGAAGATTGGTACTTTCTCACATTGTCTTTATGTTCAGTCTGTTTCAGTACATTGTTTGGGTGGAGGCATTGAGAAAATCCAACCTTATCTAGATATGTGGATGGAGAAGGGCAGAGCATTTTGATAGCTTTTTCAATGGATTTTCTTTGACACTACACCAAAACTCAAAGCAGTAGTTTCTCAAAGCTTAGTTATAATGTGGAATTTGAAACCATATTCGTGAACATTTTGTACTTTGTTATATTAAAATCCACTGGTCTCTTTTATATTTTGAATGGTTCTTTTACAAAGTGCGTGACTTTGTAACATCATCCATTGGTAATTTGGGAAATATTGTTCATTGAATGATGTAGATCTTTAATGGAAATATTGATAATTTCATTATACAGCATAAAAAATTATATTTATTGTCACCACTGATCTCATCAGAAAAGTCTTTAGGTATTAGGAAGCTGTCAAGCTCACTGTAGTGGATGCAGGTTTTCCAAAATTCTAATTTTCAAATGAAAGCTCATAATTTTTCATTGGCAGCAAATAATTACTTTCCTTGAATTGACAGGGTCACCTCATTCATTTCTGAGAAGACGTTTGCCAACGATACTCAAATCTAAATGACCAATGTCTGTCAGTCTGTCTTTCCAGTAAAAATGGTATTCCATGATAAAAGGACCTAATCCATCACAAAACCCAAACAATTGTCCACCTGAGACATTCAGCACACTTCAGTATGCATCACAAGTGCTTTGTGAGTGCCCCATTCGGTCACACCTAATACTGAAAAGACATGACTTCAGGGTTGTGATTTAATAATCGTTACTGCCTCATCAAGGATGTTCATTTTTCTTTTCTGTTCTTTCTTTCTCTTTTTTCTTTCTTTTCTCCTTCCTTCCTTCTCTTTCTTTCCCTCCTTCTTTCTTTCTTTTCTCTCTCTCTCTCCCTCCCTCCCTCCCTCTCCTCCCCTTTCCTTCCTTCTTCCTTCCTTTTCTCTTTCTTTCTCTTCCCCTCCCTTCCTTTCCCCTCCCCCTTCTCCTCCTTTCTCTTCCTTTCTCTTCTTTTTTTTTTCTTTTCTTACAGGGTATCATTCAGTCACCCAGGCTAGAATGCTTTGGCATGATCAGAACTCACTACAGCCTCAAACTCCTGGGCTCAAGCAATCCTCCTGCTTCAGTCTCCCAAAGTGCTGGGATTTACAGATGTGAGCTACCATGCCTGGCCAAGGACATTCTTAAGTGAAACTAGCCTTTTTTTTTTTTTTTTTTTTTCAGTTAGGATTACAATTCTTATTAGTATATCAGTGCAGTTTGGTATCTTCCCCTTCTCATTGACTATTTTTTCCTTGCTTTTAAATTTCCTTTAAAGAAAAGAGAAAACATCTTTATCAAACTCTTAAACATGTATGCTATATGGACAACAGGCCTGGCTAATTTTTTCTATATATTTTTTTTAGTTGTCCAATTAATTTCTTTCTATTTTTAGTAGAGATGGGGTCTCTCACTCTTGCTCAGGCTGGTCTTGATCCTGAGCTCAAACAATCTGCCCGCCTCGGCCTCCCAGAGTGCTAGGATTACAGGCGTGAGCCACCATGCCCGGCCTTTTTTTTTTTTTTTTAAACTTCAAGTACATGGTGATAAAGAACAGAATGGCTTCTAGTACAGTTTGATGCCATTGCCTTCATTCATGCAAGATAACACAGTTTTACTCAAATTCTAATACAGCAAAAAAGGCAAATAACATCTCAGTGTTATTTAATAAATTATCTTATGAAAATAGTTTAGCTTGCGGACCCCCTAAAAAAGTATCAGAGAACCCCAAGTGTCCATAGACTATACTTTGAGAATCATTGTTCTAGGGAAAAGCAGACCAATTTTGGCCATATGTGACTGTAAGTCTTTAACAAGTACAGAGGTATAGCCTTGTCAGCTGTGCTATATAACGTGCAGAGTACTAGCTAGTGTACACTCCGCATGCCAGGCACTGTTCTCAGAATGGATGTATGTGTGTTTACATACCTATGTATCTTCATCCTTGACTTTCATTGTCTCATTTATGCGTATAACAACCCTGTCAGGCAGATATGTTTTTTATCATTCCCATTTTACAGAAAAAGAGCAGAAGCATTGAGGTGAAATGACTTGCCCAGGGTGACCAAGCTAATGTCAGAGCCCGGATTCAAAGCTAGGTTCCAGAGACCACACTCTTCTTCAATACCATTGAGTGAACAAATCCAAGGAGGCCATTGGCTACTCTCTGCTACGGGAGCATGGGAGGAGGTAGACATTATCTCTAGGGGGACAGTGCAGGAGAGGATAGGGCACTGTTGCTGGTTGTCATCTGGGTACGTTGGCCTGACCTCTGTTCTCTGTCCTTTGCCCTGGCAGGATGACTTCTCGAGACCAGCTGGTGCAGCAGGTGCTGCGGGAGCTGCAGGAGGCAGTGGAGTCTGAGGGCCTGGAGGGTCTCGTTAGTGCCGCCCTCGAGGCCAAGCATGTCCTATCTTCTTTTACCCTCCCCACCTGCCGAGAGGGGGGCCCTGACCTCCAGGTGCTGGAGGTGGACTCAGTGGCTCTGAGCCTGTACCCAGATGATGCTCCGCGGAACATGCTGCCGCTGGTGTGCAAGGGCGAGGGCAGCCTGCTGTTCGAGGCGGCCAGCATGCTGCTGTGGGGCGACGCCAGCCTCAGCCTGGAGCTGCGGGCCCGCACCGTGGTGGAGATGCTGCTGCACAGACACTACTACCTCCAGGGCATGATCGACTCCAAAGTGATGCTGCAGGCCGTGCGCCACTCCCTGCGCTCCGAGGAGTCCCCTGAGATGACCAGCCTGTCACCTGCCACGCTGGAGGCCATCTTCGACGCAGATGTCAAGGCCACCTGCTTCCCCACCAGCTTCTCCAACGTGTGGCACTTGTATGCCCTCGCCTCTGTCCTTCAGCGTAACATCTACTCCATCTACCCTATGCGTAACCTCAAGATCCGGCCCTACTTTAACCGTGTCATCCGGCCCCGCCGCTGTGACCATGTACCCTCCACGCTGCACATCATGTGGGCTGGCCAGCCCCTCAGCAGCCACTTCTTCCGCCACCAGTACTTTGCCCCGGTGGTGGGCCTGGAGGAGGTGGAGGCCGAAGCTCCCAGCCTGGCCCCGGCTTCTCCGGCCCTGGCCCCACGGTCACCACTGGCCAAGACCCTGGAGCTGCTCAACCGTGAACCTGGCCTCAGCTACTCCAACCTCTGCGAGCGCTACAGTGTCACCAAGAGCACCTTCTACCGCTGGCGGCGGCAGTCCCAGGAGCACCGGCAGAAGGTGGCCACCCGCTTCTCGGCCAAGCACTTCCTGCAGGATAGCTTCCACCGCGGGGGCGTCGTGCCGCTGCAGCAGTTCCTCCAGCGCTTCCCTGATATTTCCCGCTCTACCTACTATGCCTGGAAGCATGAGCTGCTGGGCTCCGGCTCCTCGCCGGCCCTGGCCCCCAAGGAGGAGCTTGCCACGGAGGAGATGGAGAAGCTGCCGGAGAAGCAGGTGGCCGAGGGGCTGGGGTGCTCCTCGCTGGTGGCGTCAAGCCCTGGAATTATCTTAATGCAGCGGGCCAAGTTGTACCTAGAGCATTGCATCTCCCTGAACATGCTCATACCCTATCGCTGCTTCAAACGTAGGTTCCCCAGCATCTCGCGGTCCACCTACTACAACTGGCGGCGAAAGGCGCTCCGGAGGAACCCCAGCTTCAAGCCGGCACCAGCCCTCTCAGCTGCCGGGGCTGCCCAGCCAGTGTCTGCTGGGGACGAGGCCCTGCTCCCTTGGAAGGGTGAGGAGGGGGAAGGGGCAGGGAAAGCAATGGGTGGGGGCACACCCGGTCCCCGGGAGCTCCTGCCCCTGAAGGTGCCGCTGTCCCGTTGGCAGAGGCGCCTGCGCAGGGCTGCGCGCAAGCAGGTGCTGAGCGGGCATCTCCCCTTCTGCCGCTTCCGCCTCCGCTACCCGACTCTGTCCCCTTCTACCTTCTGGGTCTGGAAGAGTCTCGCCCGGGGCTGGTCCAGAGGCCTGTCCAAACTCCAGATGCAGGCCTCCGCCTTGGGCAAAGGGCGGCAGGAGGCTGAGGAGAAGCAGGAGAAGGAAGTTGGTGGGAGCGGGACAGCTGTGCTGGCCCCACATGCAGGGACTCTGCCAGTGGGGGCTCGTTCGGGAGAGGATCCGGTAGAGCCCCAGGGAGGGCCTTCCAGAGAGGGGGCCCTGCGAGAGGGGACGCTGCAAGAGGGGGCTACAGCCCAGGGCCAGCCCCACGGTGAGCCCCTTTCGAGCCACCCTGTGGTGGCAGCGGCGGGTGGCAGTGATGGCCGGGTGGTGGTGATGGATATGATCACCACCACAAAGTTCAAGGCCCAAGCCAAGCTATTCTTGCAGAAGCGCTTCCAGTCCAAGAGCTTCCCCTCCTACAAGGAGTTCAGTGCCCTCTTTCCCCTCACCGCCCGCTCCACCTACTACATGTGGAAGCGGGCCCTCTACGATGGCCTCACCCTGGTTGATGGCTGACAGGGACATGCGAAAGGGGCTGGGAGGAAGGGGGACCAGTTTGGAAGGGGTCATGGGCCTGCACTGCTCCCTGGGTTGGCCAGGATGCCATCTGTTCTGGCTCCCGCAGTGTCCACCCTGAATCCAAGGGCATATTTGTGTTACTTCCTCGCTCCAGGGCAGAAAGAGCTAGAAATCAGCCATTTGGTTTCCTGCAGAAAGCTACAGCACCAGAGATGTTTTCTTTGGTTGTTTGCTGGTCGTATTTTTATTGCTGTGTTTTAGTTTTTGGTTTTGACTTGAGTGGGTTGGCTGGGCCCCCTTGCTGGTGTTGGAAGCTGTACATATGTGGGGGGGTGGGTAGAGAGGGGGATTGGTTAGCTAGAACTGCTTTCAGCTTTTCCTGGGGACAAAAGGAGCATTATAGCGTGGCCATCTGTCCCATTAGGCAGAATATATATCTTCAGTTTCTTTTGCGGGTTGGCACCCTCCTTACTCAAAGATGTTTCCCAAAGGAACATTAAGATCAAATGTGGGGCAGGTTAGTGCCTGGCGTCCCCAAGGGAGAAGGTGCCAGGCTCAGCGGGAGCAGCAGCAGGGAGGTATAGGCAGAACTACAAATGGCCTCTAAAGGAAGGCCCTGAGGCTCCTGAGATCATTGAGAGGCTGGCCTGTCCCCTGCAAGGAGCGTGGTATAGGGTGGGGTGAAGTCCGGCAGAAGGAGATGCAGGCCCTGTTTGGGGATACGGCCCAGAGTCCCTGCTTGCTGGGGCTTGATCCATCTCCTGGGAACCCTGCAGTCCTCTGCCAGCCTGGCTGGCTGTTGGGGACCCTGCTGTGCTGCTGAGCCTCTCCTCAGAGCCGGAGCCCCACCTTAGTGAGAGACCACAAAGCGGCCAGGCAGGTGGGAGACTGAATTTGCGTTGTCCAAGAGTGAAGTTGGAAAATCAAAGAAATAAAATAATACAGTGCCCACAGCTCTTGGTCTCTGGAATTTGTTTTGCCAGGATGTGACTGCCCATTCCCATGTTCCCCTTTGCTTTAAGGGGACTGAGAGTGACCATTTCTCTCTCATGATGGGACATGCTTAGTTCTAGCCCTTGGGGAATGGGAGGGGTTACTCTGGAGACTCTGAATTGAATCAAAAAGTGACCTTCAGTGCTCCTCCAGCTGGGATCAGGGCTCTGGCTGCCTAGAAAGACGCTTCCCTCCCATGGGAGAAACCTGGCACACTAGGTGTGCTCAGAGGCCAGGCCCAGGCACAGATGAGGACACTGAGCCGCTGTGGTTCATGTGCATGCTCCCTGCGTCTTGTGGCACTGAGCTGTAAGCCTGGCCTTTGCCTGTTGGGGTGAGGCAGCATTAGGGAAGATGTTCCTTAGGCCTTTTCTCCTCCTGTCTAGGTTTCCTGCAGTGGCTGTCATCATTGTCTTGGGAAGTCATTCTCAGCTCTGCTGTTTGCTCACCCCACATCTCATCCATCAGTATGTCCCATCAATTCTCCTGGCCCACATCACAGCTTCCCTCCCTCTCTCCCTGCTTCCCTGCCTGCACTCTTGCCCCCATACAATCCATTCTCCATAGAGCAGCCAGAGAGAGATTTATAAAACCTGATTCTGTCACTTCCCTGCCTTAGGACATCTATGTAATCCCGCCCCTACCTCTCCCAACCCTTGCTCTGCATCAGCTGCCTCTGATCTTGAACATGCCACACTTATTCCTGCTCTAGGGGCCTTTGCATTTGCTCCTTTCGTCTAGAATGCTGTTCCCTGTCATTTTACACGGCAGGCTTCTTACCATTCAGGTCTCTGCGAGTCACTGTCACATCACCCTTTTTAATTCTCTGCATGGTGCTTATTCTCATCTGATATTTTTTCTTGTTTATTTGCTTATTTGATGATTGTACACACATGCCCCTCTCCCACCCTGCAGCAGAACATAATTTCCATGAAAAGCAGGGCTTTCTCCTGACTTGCTCCCACCTGTGTTCCCAGCAGGTTGATTAATTCCTGGCACATAGTAGGTATTAGAATTTGTTGAAAGAAGGAATGAATGAAATGGGGCCTCTCTTCCTTTCTGGCTGTTATCCTTTGGGATTTGTTTTTATCAAACCTAATCAATCCCATTTCCTACATATTCCTCATAGATCATTTTTTCTCCATTTCCACAGCCACCTATGCCAGTAGCTTCCCTGATCTTTGACACGGGAACTATTTCAAATTGACTCTACTTCTGTTCAAACTATTGCATTCCATCCTCTTGAAAAAGGCCAGAATGAGCCTGCTAAAATGTAAATTTGACTCATTCCTGGATTTCCCATTGCCCTTAGCACAAAATCCAAATGAGACCTCCTCAGTCTGGCTCTGCCCTCCCTCTCTGACTCACTTCTTCACACTGACCCGTCATCTAGACCTGTTCCTCTACCTGCTTCCCCCGTCCCATGGTGCTACACGCAGGGCATTGGTGATGGTCTGGATGGGGCTCTGGGGTCTCCACTGAAGCCCCAGCACCCATGTAACCACTTAACATCTGGGGAAGGGGTTGGGTAGGGTGGTAGGAAATGTTCCTGCCTGGCCTGCTATAGTCACCCACAGCCAGCAGATGGCAATCTAGTACAGCAAGAGACAAAGTCTGGATTCCAACCCCCAGCCTGGCCATCAGGGTGGCAATAACCTCTCTTCCGAGAACTACCCCAACTGGGGCTCTGGATGCTCCAGTTCTCTTCCCTGCACTCTTGAACCAGAGCAGATCCTCCGATGCCTGGAGCAGTATCTCAGTGGGGTCTAGAAACCTCCTGGATCGCAGTCCCTGGGGGAGCTTGTGAGGAGTGTGCGTTCCAGGGCCCCACCCAGACCTGCCGATTCCGCCTTAGACACTGGAGAGGCAAGATGTGGACATGGGGGAGTTGTTTCCCTTGCCGTGCCTCACTTTTTCCATCTGTAAGATGGGGACTAACGTAATGCCTTTAGTACCCCTCAAATATGAAGTGGAGATGAGCGTTTGCTATTAGTAATGATGGTGTCTGGTTGGAGAACCCCTGCAGTCTAGTTCCTGTTTTCTAGGAGGAAACTAATGCCCAAGGAGATTCTTGCCCAAAGTTACCCTCCAGATTAAAGACACTCCTGTCCCAAGATTAAAAGGTCGTTTTGCCAGCGGCCAGCACTGAGCCCTAAACCCATAGGCAGAAATTTTAGCTTCTGTTGGGAAAAATTAAGATAAAAATGATATGTCAGTATTTATTGATTTGGAAAAGGTTTCATAAGTATGGTTATTCTTGTGTAGAAAAGCCGTTTCCTTTATAATCTGCTTAGAAAGGCAGGGGCGCCTCAGCCATGACCACATTTGCCGAGAATACTTCATGCTGATTTTGAAGTCAACGTTTGTTGAAGTTATTTGTAATTTTTTTTTTGCACCACTTTCTGTCTCAGATGCAGATGTAAGAAGAAATTCCAGTGAAATGAACAATGTGTGAATAAAGGAAGAAAACAATGTGTGAGGTTAACTTTACATCTCCTTCCAACATTCTGTGCAGTCGTAATGTAACAACCAGTTCTAAAAACTTTAAAAGCTTCACCCTAAAAACACAATGGAGTGAAACATGAATAATTAAATTTTTTTCCTTTTATCTCTGTATTTACCTGCTGAGGGAAGGGGTCCTGTGTTTTGGTGGAGATCATCCCGTCTACCATGACATGCACGAAGTTGCTCCCCAAATGTTTCTCTGGAGTCCAGCGCTCAAGACCAGGGCTTTGCTCGTGCTTCGTGGGCCCTGATCACCCACCTCATGTCCCAGCTTCCCCTCCTGGATGTCCCACCATCGCCTCAATCTCACTGACCGCCAGTCTGGGCTCACTCCCCGCTGACCCGCTCTTCTCGGAGTATTTTTCACCATGGCTGCTGCAGCATCGAGTTACCAGTCGAACTGGCCAGAAAGCTGAGCGTCATCCTAGAAAGTTCTCTCTCCCACAGCTCCAACGTGGCAGGACCCTAGGCACATGGCAGGTTTCACGAGGTTGCACACGGCTGGGCCACCACAGGGAAGAGAATGTGATCACAGCCCACCCCCATCCTTTCCCGTGAGCACAGCTTTTATGTCGGGTCACACCTGAGGCTGCCGGCCAGCCCAAGTCTGGCCCAGCTGTCTGTGGCTGAGGTGCTGGTTCGGCCTTGCTCACAAGGGATCTGGCGGATGGAATAGGCTCCCATCCGGCAACCTCTGAGAGCCTGGACCCTGTGCTGTGTGCTGAGACAGAGCCATTTGTCCTCCAAAAGGCCTCACTGTGCAGGTGGCTGTGGTGAGATACAGGATCAAGGATTCCATGTGGGATGCACAAGGAGTGCAGCCAGATCACAAGGAAGTGCGTGCTGGCTTCGTCTGGCACCTTCTGGCTCATTCCCACACCCCCCCACACCCCTGGCACCACCTTGCAGCTTCTTGGGGCCAACTCTTCTCTGAGAAATGTAGGGTGCCCAGGAGTTTCTGGGAAATGCCTCAGTTGCCCCTCAGGTGACCCTGGTCACTAGTTGCAAAAGACTCGTTCCAGTTTGGTGGCTGTCACGGGAAGATGGCATGCTGGGTGACGGGTCCTGACACTAGGCAGTTGTTAGGGTGGGGCTGGAAGGCTGAGAAGTGAAGCTCAGAAAGCACGTGCAGGGCAGCCTGCTCCTGCCCTTGGTGCGCTCTGCCCACTTTCGCTGGCCTGATTTCTCACCAGAACCTTCCAGTGTGATTTCTCCCTAATCCTGGTTAGTGACACCCAGGTTACCTGTAGGTCGTCACTAGCAGGTTCCTAAGTGTTCCCATTGCTGGTTTATCTCATGGAAGAGGAGGAGGGAAGCTTTTAGGGAGATAAGAAGCAGCAGAAAGTAGGTTTAATGATATAAAAAAAATTTTCCATGGAAAATGACTTTGAAAATAGCATGAAATCCGCTTAACTATAGCAGCTCCTCCCTGCCAGGCAGAGAGAGTTGAGTGACAGAGATAGGAGGGCAGCCAGAAGGAGACTGGGCAGGCAGCTGCT